CTTCAAAATTAACAAAAAAAAAATTTAAATCAAAGGAATTCAAAAAACGAAAGGGTAAAGAGACTCACCATGTCCACGGTAGACATCTGTTATTGAAGAGACTGTTTATGAAAAATACGTTTTCGTACCAATACTTTGGGCACTGAATGGCTGGATCTGTTGGTGGCCACATCGGATGGAAATGGGTTACCTGAATAGAAATGGATCTAAGAGATGCTCTTAAGGGTTACCGCTAGTGGGCGTGTAAACGCCCAGACGGACGAGTTGTCTCAAGGATAATCATTCGAACTCACCGATAGCCGCAAAGTCACCGCCACCAGTGTGTACAAGTAGGCTGGCCATAGTCGGACTACTCGGTGTCTGTAGAAGCGTAACCAGTAGCCGTATGATGTCCATGTAGGCTCTTCTTCTGGAAAAAACATCTTTCAAAAAAAAAAACGCAAGACTACCATTTGTCGGGAAAAGATAAATACCTACCGGTGGTGTTTTTCAGCCATTTTCTGAACCACGAGTATGAGAGCACTGTTCCGCCCAGCACCAAAAAGGTGTCAACGCCAAGAGTGAAGTTGGTGATCCATTGATTCCAGAAATTGTTTACCATCGACTCTTTAAACTCGTCAACATTCTCCAAGTATGCCTGAAAAGGTGACGTCAAGGGGTTTCAAAGAGGGAGTGATAAATTGCATGTCTGGTGTCAGGGATATGTGACGAGACAATCGTGATATATCACGCCAGTGGGCGTGGCTAGCGACACCACGGCGGACGGACGAGTTGTCCTGCCTAGCCGTTCAACTATGAGTGCTGAAGGGAAGGGAAAATGCGATATCGCCTGTCGTGGAGTCTTGTCGCTTGCGTGGAGCCCCGCTTCTCCATTCAACGGACAATGCGCATCGAGACTGCGTGGTACGCCGCGCGTAAGGACGCCGCGTCAAACTGTGACTCACCTCCTTGGATCCTGGTCCTTGCCGTGTATGACGAGATTGGGTCCGCAACTGAAAGAGGGCCAGAGGGTAGTGATACCCGAGTGCCGTCTCCATAATCCTAATGGTGCAGCACTCGCATCGATACCATGATCCCGTAGCGAAACACGCACTCAGCGGTAGAGAACAACCAGAAGTGAGAGGGCACAGACAAGTAGCGCGTTTGGCTATGGTTAGGCGTATGGCTGGCCGTGCGGCAGTGCGCGTCAATTATGAAGACGACAGCTGGTTATCACTTCTCCTGCCCCGTTCCCGCGCACTTTTGACTGGAAAAAGTGGCGAGCTACTGAAGCTGTGGACCCACTTTACCCACACACGTCATAGGCCAGGATCTACGGAGATGAGTGTGCAGTTTGTCTTGAATTTTTCAAAGAAGTCCTTCATGGACGTACCTGAATAAAGATGAACGAATGCCCGACGAGCGTCCAAATCATGGAGAGAACTCGCATGCCGAACATACACGTGATACATGATTGAGGATCTTTTGGTAACTGTACCAATCGTCGTAGATTCTTCTTTGCTGAAAATGCTAGCAGAATACGGCTCGACATCGATCTGAAATCAATCGGCCATCAGTGGACTGGAATTCCGAAGTTCCGACAGTGTTATAACGAACTTGACGTTTTCTCCTCTCATATTATGAAATATGGTGGCCATTATGACGAGCATCAGGAGCAATAAGTTGAAGGCAAGGTCACACACCGGTATGAGCTGTTCGAACCTGAATGCAGTAGTGAGAATAGCCGTAAATTTAATTTAATTTGATTGGAAATCGGTCAAAATTTTCCAGTTTCCGTATAGAATTTGTTGCGCAATTTACAATAAATCATCTCTGGAGTAAACAGTTCCAGCTGATGACTCAAGGGATGATTCACAGTTGTAAAAAGAGGCCACCCTGTGATTACGATTCGGCATGCCAACCGGAACGTGAGGTAGCATTGATTCAGCTTGAAGCATAAGGACGATTTTGGTACTCAGTAAATGAGTAGCATGAGTGGCCTACGGATGAGCAAAATGTGAGAAAGCGAAGCCAACAGTCGACAACCTGCGAAAAAAATATTCTCCTAGAATGCGATCCAGCAAGAATTTCGGACGAGTTTTCCGTTGGCATCGTGCCAATAATCGCTACAGTAGATCATGCAGCACCGCAGCCGCTTCATATCAATCCCCGCGCAGTTCGGCGACGGGAGGGGGGCATTTTGCACTTTCGAACAAGAGTTCACAGGTTTCACCAGATGAGACTTGTGAACTGGAACTAGCGATGCAAAGCAAAGCAGCCAAAGTGCAAAATGTCCCCCCCCCCTATCCGTCACCGAACTGCGTCATCAATCCCTTCGCTTCATATTGTGCTTCCCAAACGGAGCGATGCGAGCATCAGCATCGGTCGGACGCTTGTGGACGGACAACTGGATAGGCGCTGTGAGGGTACCAAGAAAGCGCCAGGCTCGGGGATGCAGTATTCCATCCTGCTAGGCGTATTAACCCTAAATGTCTTGGGAATTTATCGTGCCAGTTGCCTTCAAATCGGAAAGCTTCGAAAGCACAGCCTTCTACGACTACCGTATCCTTGATTTGTCTTCTGTTGGGTGGGTAAAGGTATAATAACAGCAGTGGTATGGTCAGTGGCCGCGATTCGGTTTGGTGGGGGCATTTCGCTGGTTCCCGTCCTGTGAATTCCTGTGAGGCAATGTAGCGGTATGAGCTTCGTTTACTTTTGACAAGAGTCGACAGGTTCCGCAAAGGTCTTAGAATATCTGTTAACCGCGGAGCTTCTGTTCTCATTTCCTCTTTTTTTTCTTATTCTTTCTCCTTCCTCCCTACCTTCGTGGTTACCTCTTCCTTCCTTTCTGTACTTTACCCTTTCGAAGGCTCAGATAAACGGTGGCAGTAAAAAAAGTCTATGTACTCTTGCAACTAGAGAAAATCTATCCGGTCGACAGATGCCTTGCTCGACTGAAAAAGGCATTTTCTCTGTAACCTGAAGTACTCAGGACACTTGCACCATTATAAGCTGTAGCGAAACCCCAACGAACTCAACCCTGTTCTGGCTTGGGAGGGGCATTTTCGCTACTTTCTTTTCTCAATTTGGGAAAAACTACACGCATGGTGAAGCCTGCAGACCCCTGTCAAGCGCAAACAAAACTTCTGTTTTGCATAACTACAGAAGCTTACAAGCCTACACGGATGGCCTCGGCAGCGATCGAGTAAACTAGCAAAATGTCCCCACCAAGCCAAACTGCGCCGGAATTCATCTAGTTAATGTCTTTTTGGGGGATGAAAAAAATTCTCGTGCAATATTTTTGATATTCCAAAAATTCGTAACCGTAAGAATGGTCAAACTGTCTAACTGTGGCATCTTTGAAGGGGTAATATAGAAAAAAGTTTACCATTGTTTCTCGTGCCTTGATCGAGTACAAGACGTGAAGTCCATGGGCATGTCGGCTTCTTCGGGTTTTGTCATCGTCCGCCATTCTTTCAGCAGCTGAAATCTATCAGCAAAGTGAGAGGATGGAAAAATCTTCCGCTTAACTCTGCCATTAACAGG